ACCTCTTTTTCTATGAAATGACCCCTGGCTCTTAGACTGAAAGCCCCCAGGCTGCGTAGTCCCTATATATAGTACAAATATGTATGTCAGAGTTTATGATATACCAACAAGACCACAGTAAACCAGACTCAGTGAGGATTAGGGTTGCCAAGTCTGATTTTCGCCGCAGCAGGGGACTCCTGGCTGGCGGCTGGAGTGCGCGCGCACCGCATCCACATCACTCGGAAGCGACGCGACCACGCCGGGCATGCTGGGGCGGGGCCACAATTATCCGAGGTGGGGTTCCCCCCGGGGCCCAATCCGCCGCCGGCGGGGAACGGGCCTCTGGGGCGGGGGTTTCCCCGCCCCCCAGGGGGACTTGGCAAGCCTAGTGAGGATCTCTCAAAACGGATAGTCCACAAATAAAGTGACAGTAAACAAGACCAAATGTGTTTCGGCCTTGTGCCAGATTCTTGGTGGGTGCGTACGCAACCAGAAGGGAGCGAACTGCCAAGATTAGGCCGATATCATTTAGAATCTTACATTTTTTTTGTATGTGAGCATGGAAACCACGGAATGAGATCCGTAATCTTCTTAATGTCACTGTTTGGCCAGAGGGAATAAAATGTGCATGAATCAATTCATACCTGGTCTGGCTAATTCCGTCAACACTTGTTCTTGGTGTGTAGGTGTGTATTTGTGACCACAAGGTTGAAATGTGTCTGGTCTTGTTTACTGTGGTCTGGTTTGTGTATCATCATCTCTGAGATACTTACTTGTACCATATGTTGTACGTTGAGGACTACCCAGTCGGGTGGCTTTCAAATGCATTTCGGCCTTGTGTCAGATTCTTGGTGGGTGCGTACACAACCAGGAGGGAGTGAACTGCCAAGATTAGGTCGATATAATTTAGAATCTTACATTTTTTAATATGTGAGCATGAAAATCACGGAATGAGATCCATAATCTTAATGTCACCGTTTGGCCAGAGGGAATAAAATGTGCATGAATCAATTCATACCTGGTCTGGCTAATTCCGTCAACACTTGTTCTTGGTGTGTAGGTGTGTATTTGTGACCACAAGGTTGAAATGTGTCTGGTCTTGTTTACTGTGGTCTGGTTTGTGTATCATCATCTCTGAGATACTTACTTGTACCATATGTTGTACGTTGAGGACTACCCAGTCGGGTGGCTTTCATTCTAAAGGCTAAACTTGAGGACTATGTTTTTATTTATTTATACGTTTGATTTTTACGTTTGATTTGTCATTCGCCCTTCCCTGCCCAGCAGGGCTCAGGGCTGGGTACATCATAATAAATAAACATTTAACTATCAAGAGTGGTGCTTAATAAAATCAAAGCACTGCAGATGGTAACAGTCAAAAGGACAAATGAGAGGGAACAGAACCACGAGAATAGTAGTCGGTGCTCTTAGCTGTCCCTATCCCTGCCCATATGCCTGGTGGTGGAACATCTCTGTCTTACAGGCCCTGCGGAATTGTTTCAGATCCCTCAGGGCCCGGGTCTCACTAGGGAGAGAGTTCCATCAGGTCGGGGCCAGGGCGGAAAAGGCCCTGTCTCTAGTCACGGACAGTCAGATGGTTTTCGGGCCCGGGACCACTAGATGGTTGTCATCAGCTGAGCGTAATGCTCTTTGAGGGACGTAATGCTTGTTGAGGGACATATTGTTTTTAAAATTGCATTTTAAGTGCGCCATATAACAAGTGGATTTATTTTGTCTCGTTTGTTTTTTATATCGTTTCTGCTCAACCTTCGTGATGCCGCATTCAGTTCGGTGGTTGGGTCTTTTGGTCTGGCCTGAATGAGCTTCACGGCCAAAGGGAGACTTGAACTCGGGTCCCTCTGCCTCTGGTCCAGCCACTATACTTCCCAGTTGGGAGAAGAGAAACCAACAATGAGATTTCTTTTCCCCCCCTACAGCCTGTCCTTTTCCGCTCCGGCCAGTTTGCTCGTGAGCGGGTTCGGTCTTCCTCCAGAGGTCGAGGGGGTCTTTTCTTTCTCTCGCTTCCTGTGAGTTGGCTCCTCTGGACGACGGCGATGAAGCCTCCTCGGCATTTCATAGCTGTGAGAAGCTTTTCAGGGGAAGCCAAGTCAGGTGGGGAGGTGAAGGTCTCGAAAGGCAGCCTCCTGCGTCAGGAAGATGCCCGCCGGGCCTCCTCAGAGGGGCATTTCTGGGCGAAGGTCTTGGACACCGGAAACGTGGTCCGAGTCTCCTCTTCTTCAGCTGTCCAGGAACTGAGCGGCACCCACGCTGAGCTCTTGGAGGCTGTGACCAACGGAGAGGAGCGCCTGGAACTTTTCAGACAGGAACGGCTGATGCGGAGGCTCAGTTCCCTCCAGAGCGGGGACCCAGTTCGGGTCCAGATCACTTCCTCCTCCAGGCAGAAAGTTCAAGGCGTTGTCCGATACCGGGGGCCCACGGAGAAGAACAAGCGTGATACGAGCATCATCTTTGGGGTGGAGCTGGTGGTAAGTCAATGGCGCAAATGGGGGGTGGGGGGGGAGATACGATTCTCCAGTCAGTCTGTTAACGGCGCGGCTGTTTGCGAGAAAAGACAGTTCCTAACGTTCAGTGGGAGTTTCAGGATGAAATGATTTCTTTGTCTTTAAAAAAAAATAAATCTCAGGTTTCTGGTCCTTGGCATGCCAAAAAGATTGGTGCACATCCTCTTGAAGTTAGTGGTGCTTCACGGGGGGGCATTAAATGTCAGTTAGAGTGGGGATGGTGATCAGTTTAACAGCAAGTTCAGCAGTTCGAGACCCAAGTGTGCTGCATGATGGAGTGAGCTCCCGTCTCTAGTTCCAGCTCCTGCCAACCTAGCAGTTCGAAAGCAAGACATTGCAAGTCGATAAATAGGTACCACTTCGGTGGGAAGGTCACAGCGTTCCGTGCGCCTTGGTGTTTAGTCATGTCGGCCACATGACCACGGAAACATGACTGTCTTCGGACAGCGCTGGCTCTTCGGCAGCTATTTTGTAGTGGCACCCACCACTACCCTGTGTCAGAATTCTAAACGTGTCCACAGGATCAAAAATGTCCGGGACCCCTGCTCTACACAATGCATACCTGACTTGAGAAACTCCCTGCCAGTTTGGTGTCGTGGTTCAGTGCGCGGACTCTAATCTGGGAGAACCTGCTTTGATTCCCCACTCCTCCACTTGCACCTGCTGGATGACCTTGGGCAAGCCATAGTTCTGTCAGAGCTGTTCTTGAAAAAGAGCAGTTTCTGTCAGAGCCCTCTCAGGCCAACCTACCTCGCAGGGTGTTTTTTGTGGGGAGGGGAAGGGAATGGAATTTGTAAGCCGCTCTGAGACACCTTTGGCTAGTGAAGGGCGGGGTATAAATCCAATCTCTTCTTCTCTTATTCTTCTTCTTCTGCCACAGAATGGCCAAAAGTTTACATGTTACAACCGTAACCACTCCCCCTCAACCTTGCACACCTTTTTTCTGTCTCTGCCACCCCCCCAGGGTTCCGCCGCTGGGAAAGGCTTCACCGACGGCTCCTTCAAAGGTCAGAAGTTCTTTTCCTGCCGAGAGAACTGCGGGGTCTTTGTGCCTGTCAACCGTATTGAGCCGGACGACTTGGCGAAGGGCAGCCCTCCAGCGCCTCCAAGGGGCACTGCCCGGGAATGCACGAGGATCCAGCTGACATCCGGGGATCCCTTGTCATCTCCCCAGCTGGAGATTGGGGACCGTGTTTTCTTCAAGATGGAAGACAGCACCCCGACGGGTACTGTGGTGTACTGCAACTACTTGCCCAAGAAAACCGAGGTCGGGGTGTTTGTGGGTATACACCTGGTAAGAGGCGGCCGATTTCCTCCTTCATCTTATGCTCAGGGGCACCCCGAAGGGGGGTTCGGGTTGGAGGGGACCCCCTATCACAGCTTGCTGGTCTTGAGCTCCCCGGAAGAAGGGAGGAGATTAAAAATGTGCTAGATGGTAAAATGTAATCCGTCTGTTAAGTCTTCCGAAGGGAGATTTGTTGTTGTTTTTGATGCAAAATAATCAGTTGTCATATCTGAACATGCGCAAAGTGCCTTATTAACGTGCACGTTGGGATCTGGGGGCGACAAAATGTACCACTTGAACCCGGGGTCAAGGAATTCTTTTCACTGACCCGCCAAGACAGTGTCTGAAGAAATGTCCTTCTGAAGATGAAGTGGGGACTGTCAAATGATGAGGGCTAGAAACATGGTTTTATGTTGCTTTTTTATCTTTTTTTTTTTAAGCTGAAAGAGTTGAGGACAACATTTCTGTTTGCTAAATTCCATGCAATGATCCAGTTCTGCAGATGGTTACGCATCAGATACTAGCAATGAGGACAGAGGAAATCTGAAAGAGAGCCTGCAAGCATCCGTTCATGGACGAATTAGTGACTGAGAGAGGGTGGTGGTTGGGTCTTGGAATTATATAGCAGGTAGTGGCACGGGATTGGCTCTCTGGTGTCACCTGACCACCAGGGAGGATTTTGGTCTATCGTTGTTTTAGCTTGACAACTGCTTCCTTTACTATTTGAATGCAACGTTATTACCACCTCCTTGCCCCAAAAGCAACTATTGATATGTTTAAAACTTCTCCTAGGACAAGCCAGTCGGCTCCTGGGATGGTTATTTGAAAGAACACAAGCTCTGCCATATCCCAGCGCCAGAGTATGGGATTCTCTTGCCGATTTCTAAAGTACAAAAAGGTAAGTCCCCTAGTATCTGACGAGAGGAGACCAACTGGGTTTGCATTGTGTATAAGAATACACTATTGTGGTGGCTTTTCCTGCTTAAGTGCTCTGGTGGGCAATTTCCTGCCCTGGCACCCACGCTCCCACTGCTGCTCAATTAAGCAGTGGGAGTAAACTGTAGAGGGAAGACAGGCATTGTACAATGGCACTTCCGTGTTATACCTGGAAGTGATATCATGGCATTGTTTGACACTCTAGGAATTTCCCAAATCTCTATGGTAGAACTACAGAGATTAAGGTGACGCCTAGAGCACCATGTGGTACTGTGATATCCCTTCCAGGAACGAACCTGGAAGCAATATCGCAACCTCACGCGATGCTGATTTCTGCATTGCCCGTCTCCCCAGTGCTTCTGGAGCATTGTGATTGTTATTCTGCCGTAGCCAATGCCATCACTGTTTTGTGGTGTTATGCCGCTGTCCAGCCAATAATAAGGCCTTGGTAGGGTTGTATATAGTTAGGCTGCAAATGAATCTTATAAGGTGCATCATCTGATGGTGCTCGAAGTGTGGGATAGGACCCAACAGGGGCTGATGACTCTCTCACAGGTGAGTCACGAGGCCAGGGGAGGGAATAGGCTGAGATGGCACAGGAGACACTCGAGGAGTCTGTGGCCAGGTTGGGTTTATCTCTGCAATAATGTCCAAAATGGCCTTGAAATACAGCTTGTTACACCTAGAGATGTAAAATTTCCAGAAATTTTGAAGCTCGGACAAAAACCCAGGTTTTTTCCAGTTTTTTTCAGGGGGAAACGGAAATTTTTGGAAAAATTGAAAAAAATGCTACATTAGCATTTCGTTTGACTTTTCTAGATTGAAAGTCATTCTGTTACTTTAGGAACATAAAATATGACCATGGACATTTTTACTTGGCATGAAATTATCACAACTAGCATATTAAAAATATAGTGTATCCAAACAATGATTACAAACAGAATACCCACCCACATGCAAAAACAAAACTGAAACCTTTTTATTTTCTTTTGACCATAGCACCTCCTAAAGGAAGAAATGCATCTTGTTCTTGCATTGGAGAGTTCAGTTTGTAACCTAGGACTTGCTTGTCCTCAGTGCACAGAAATTAGATCAATCTGATACCCTAGAAATGATTTGGAAAATATTTGAACACCTTGTCTTAAAATATTTTATTCATCATGTTAAAATAAAACATTCCATAATCAATTTTTTTTCAATTTTTCCAATTTTTCAGAAAAAAAACAAAAAAGGCTTCAGGGAAAAAATGGAAAAAAAACAATTTTTTTCCCGATTTTTTGGGGGTTTTTTCCGGGCCTTCACATCTCTAGTTACGTCCTGATTTGGAAAGCCCAGGCAAGCCCGATCTGGTCAGATCTTGGAAGCTAAGCAGGGTCGACTCTAGCAAGTACTTGGATGGGAGACCTCCGAGGAATACTAGAGGCGGGAGGCGGAGGCAGGCTTTATTCAGCCACCTCTCTGAATATCCTCCAGGCCCCCGGTAGGGGTCAGTCTCCAGAGGTTGCCATGACTTCCAGGTGCGCACACACACGCACATATAAAGAATACCGAAAAGAAAAGAAATACAGCTTGTTGCTTAGTAAGGCCATATATTTACTAAAACTGGGGAATAAAATATAATCTTGGCAAGTATTCAGTGAAGTGGGATTCTTGTGTGTGATTTTGCAAGGGGGGGACACATAGTACGGAGTGAGTTTGCAAGTGAATCCCGAAGAATACAGTAAGTTTCAAAGTGGGTCCTGGATCAAAAAGTTTAGAAGAAGAAGAAGAGAAGAAGAGATTGGATTTATCCCCCTCCCTTCACTCCCCAAAGGTGTCTCAGAGCGGCTTACAAACTCCCTTCCCTTCCCCTCCCCTGTGAGGGAGGTGGGGCTGAGAGAGCTCTTGACAGAAACTGCTCTTTTTCGAGAACAGCTCTTATCAGAACTACGGCTTTCCCAAGGTCATCCAGCCAGGTGCAAGTGGAGGAGTGGGGAAGCAAACCCAGTTCTCCCAGATTAGAGTCCGCGCACTTAACCACTACACCAAACTGGTTTAAGAACCAACCCCCCCCCCCCGGCATAAACTCTGCATGTTTGTTTGGTTTCTCTTTCGTGCTTCTGCTACTCATGGCAAAGCTCTGGGACCTGCAACCCTTCCTTCCAGCCACTGCCAATCCCACCCCACCCCTCTTAGCCTATGACATTGGATCAGATGTTGCCCATGCATGGGATCGGTCCTCAGGACCCAGGAACTTGCTCTTATTTTTTTTAAAAAAACAAAAAAACTCATAAGTCTCCTGACTGCCAAACGGGATACTTGTGGGGGTTGATACACATCACAGGGTTGGCATGGTTTAATGAAGAAGGGTGTCCGATTGATATCAAGCGATCCGGGTTCTGATCTCAGTACAGGCACGGAGCTCACGGGGTGATCTTGTCCAGTCACCACCAATGTTCCCTCTAAGCTGTGGAGTCTTGTGAGCAAAAATTTCTACTTTGTGAGCTGCCGGCATTAAAGTTGTGAGCCAGCGATTTGGCTGCTGCATCAATTAGTTTGCCCTGGAGCCCCATCCTGCCTGAGCTAAGGCAAAAATGTGTGAGCCGGAGGCTAAAAAACTGTGAGCTAGCTCACACCAACTCAGCTTAGAGTGAACACTGGTCACCACCTCTCAGCCTATGCTGCCTCACAAGGTTGTTGTGAGAGGGGAAATTGAAGGGGCAGAGTCCCATACGCCACCCTGAGCTCCTTGGAGGGAAAGGCAAGATGAAAACATGGCGATAAGTTCACCTCATTATCTTTTCACCCTCTCCAGAAGAGCCAAACAGAAGCCCCGAGGCCTTGGACAGCAATTCGTCCCCACCTATCTCGGCCTTTTTTGATTGCCCATCCCCATCATCCATCCGGTACCCACCAAGGATGGAGGGGTGTTCACCCAAGGAATCTCTGTCCCTGTTCCCTCCCCTTGGCTCGGAGAAGCTGAAACGGACACTTAGAGTCGCTGAGAGGAACCAGGAGGAGCAGGAGGCAGGTGAAGACGATGAGGGGGAAGAGGATGACCGATACGACCACCATCTCCTGGAGATCAACTCCATGGTGGAAGTTAACGATCCACCAATCTACGGGGTGATCCGCTGGATTGGGGATCTACCTGACACGGAGGAAACTATTGCCGGTCTGGAGCTGGTAAGGACAATGAGAGGGCGGGGACAGAACACACCTTACCCGCCTTTGTGTTTTTCCCGGTATTGTCAGAACCACGGTTCCCTCTAAGCTGAGTTAGCGTGAGCTAGCTCACAGTTTTTTAGCCTCTGGCTCACACATTTTTGCCTTAGCTCAGGCAGGGATGGCTCCAGAGCAAACCAATTTATGCAGTAGCCAAATGGCTGGCTCACCACTTTAATTCCGGTAGCTCACGAAGTAGAATTTTTGCTCACAGGACTCCACAGCTTAGAGGGAACATCAGAACTCAAAAGAGACTTGGGTTTTTTTTTTTAATGACTTGATGACTGCAGAAACGGACTCCACTGGAAAAACTTTTATGTTGTGGAGGTGACCTGAAAGTTCTGACTGCTGCTTTAGGGTCGGTGGGCTGGCTCGCTCACGACAGGCGAGATGTCTCTTCCTGCAGTCACCGAGCGAAGAACGAGCACGCCCTCGGAAATGCCACGCGTCTTGGGAAATCGGGGCTGAGACTGAAAATGTGGGATGAGTGTGATGCGAGGTTATGGGGCTGGGAGCCCCTTCCCTATGGGGAAAGACTGAAGAGTCTATGTTTAGAAAAGAGACGACTGGGGGGGGGGACGTGATAGAGGTTTATAATGTTGTACATGGGGTGGAGAGAGCCGACAAAGAGAAATGTTTCTCCTTCTATCGAAATGCTAGAACTTGAGGGCATTCAATGGAGCTGCTGGGCAGTAGGTTCAGGAGGGGCAAAAGGAAGTGCTACTTTACACGGAGAAGAAGAAGAAGAGATTGGATTTATACCCCACCCTTCACTACCGAGGGGTGTCTCAGAGTGGCTTACAAACTCCTTTCCCTTCCCCTCCCCACAACAGACACCCTGTGAGGGAGGTGGGGCTGAGAGAGCTCTGACACAAACGGCTCTTTTTCAAGGACAGCTCTTATCAGAGCTACGGAGATGCCCAAGGCCATCCAGCCAGGTGCAAGTGGAGGAGTAGGGAATCAAACCCGGTTCTCCCAGATTAGAGTCCGCACACTTAACCACTACACCAAACTGGCTCTCTGACTGAAATGTGAGATTCACTGCCAGAGGATGTTGTGATGGCCACGGGAATAAACAGTTTTAAAAGGGGATTCGATAGATTCGTGGGGGATGGGTCTTATCAGTGGCTGCTAGCCTTGTCGACTGAGGGGAACCTCCACGTTCAGAGGCAGTAAGCCTCTGAATCCCAGAGTCAGGAGGCAACATCAGCAGAAGGTCTCAGCCTCTCTGCCCTGTTGTTGGCCATCCAGAGGAACTGGTTGGCCACCGTGTTAGATAGGATGCTGGACTATAGATGGACCATTGGTCTGATCCAGCAGGGCTCTTCTTTCGTTCTTATATCTGCTTTGTACGCTTAGGAGGAGCCGCTATCTTCAGGCTGCACAGATGGACAGTACAGAGGGACCCGCTACTTCCGCTGCCCACCCAACAAGGCCCTCTTTGTCAAGTTGCGTCACTGTCGGCCCGACTCCCGTTTCGGCATGGAGCAGAATCTGGAGAATCCCGTTTTGCGGTGCAATTCGTTGGGTACGGCACAAACGTAGGAGGGCGGTGAGAACTTGAGGCCTACTTGGTTTGTCTAGTCGGTGATTCTTGAACTGCGCGATGGGGGGATCCCAGAAGCGTCACCGTGATCCAGAAAGCAGAATGTATCCTTGAGCATGGAGGATTCCTGCATGTAGTTCCAGGAACTCGACTAAGTCACTGTTAAGGCTGGACTGTGTACTTGATTTGAGAGCCTCTGTGGTCTAGAGGGTGGGATCAGGAAGCGGGAGACATGTTCAGATCTTCATGATGCTTGTCAGAGTCTGGGGTCAGTCCAAGCCAAACTCCAGAATCAGAATCAAAGTCCAGTCCAGAGGTCCATTACCCAACAGAGTCCAGTTCAAAGTGTTACACAGGAAGCAAGGTCCAACAGTCTGAGGTCATCCATGAGTGCAGGGAGGAAGGATCCAGAGTCACCGTCCAGAGCCGATCCAAGGGTCACAGGAACAGAGCAGGGTTCAGAGCTGTGGTCACCGAGTCAAGAGGTTGGTGACTTGTTGCTTCCACAACATGCAGGTTCCCAGCACTGGGTTTCATAGGCGCTTCCTAACAAGCCCTTGTTAGCAGCCAGCAGCTTGGAAGTACTGCTACAACTACTCCAGGTTGTCATCAGGAAGCAGCTGGCGACGGGCCAGGAGACGGGCACTCTGCCTCCTTGCTTGCAGCTCCCTTCTAAGCTTCTGTCTCCAGTGCTCAAAGGGTGGAGGTGAGCCTGATGGACTGGTTTTAATCAGCTGAGTCTCACTGCATCGTGGCTGGGTGGTGCCTCTTGGCGGTGAGCCTTGAGTGGTCTGTAGCTCTCTGATTCCCCTAGGCTCAGGATTAGCTACACCAGGCTCCTCTTCACCTGAGGAATTCCTTTCTCCTCAGCAATCCTCAGTAGCGCTTGTCTCAGGCTGAGGCTGACCCATGACACTGCTCAGTACGGTCTACCTTACAAGGATGTTGTAACGGCAAATTGGGAGCCGGGCATGCTATCCTGAGCTCCTTGGAGGGATGGGCAGGCACTGTATTTGCTGTATATATTCCCTGCTGACTCTGGGCAGATGGGGTTAGGTAGAACAATAAAACTGGTTTCCCCTGGGTTTGGATCAAGGAGAGCTCAAACCCTTCATCTGCGTCTCCTTTCACCTTTCTCTCCCCAGATTTCCACGTGTATGCCAGTGCGAAAGTAGAAGAGGACACTCCACCACCGCCACTGGGTGATCGTGACATAGAGCATCTCTTGGGATGGAAGAAAGGAATCCAGGGACACTGCAATTCCTGTTATCTGGATGCCACGCTTTTCTGGTGGGTGCAAGCTGTGGTGGGATGGGCAACCGCTGGGATGGGCAACTTGCTTGGTCACGAGATATCCAGGTGTAAGTTCCTATCCTAGGTTTGTCTTCTGGAGTGCCTGCTAGATATTGCAGGCTCTTGTAGCATCCAGCAGGTTCTCAGTGGCTGTTCTCTTTAACCCCACCTTGTGCAAAACCCCCACAGGTATCCATAGCACATCAAAAGCGGCCACAGAAAATGTGTCCCTGCAGTTAGAGCTCGGTTGTCTCCCCTTAGATTCCCTTCACCCACTAATGCTACTCTTCCTTCAGAACTGGATACAGATGTAAATATGCGTCCCTCTCTTTTGCTGTTAGTATGTTCACTTTCTCCTCGGTACTGGATTCAATGCTGCTCCGTCCGGCGGACAAGAACGATGCAGAGTCTTACACCGAGACACGGGATCTGCTGAGGACAGAGATAGTCAACCCTTTGCGCAAGTGAGTTTCTGGCATTGTAGAACATTCCCTGTTTTCCTCCAGGAGCGAAATATAGCCCTGAAACGTCAATGTATGGAACCTTTGTGCTAAAGCAAGGCACCGACAGGCGTCAGGTGAGCACAGGAAACCAGTTTGAATGTAGGATCCCGAGCAATGCTCCCTCTAAGCTGTGGAGGGTTGTGAGCAAAAATTCTACTTTGTGAGCGACTGGCCTTCACGTTGTGAGCGAGCGATTTGGCTGCTGCATCAATGAGTTTGCTCTGGAGCCCTCCTTCCTGAGCTGAGACAAAAAGGTGTGAGCCGGAAGCTACAAAACTGTGAGCTAGCTCACACGAACTCAGCTTAGAGGGAACACTGATCCCGAGTGGTAAAAGGTAACTTCTAATAATGTCATTTTTCTTTAAAGTCACTCCAGAATTTTCACATCAAAACAGTGTGTGTGTGTGTGTGTGTGTGTGTGTGTGTGTGTAAAATGAGCAAATTTGCATGCACTGATATGTTTTACTAATATATATGACAAGAAGCAGGACCCGCGATACTTGCGGGGGTGTATGCCCCACAGCCTGCAAAGCAGGAGGGGGTCCTCAGTGAAGAGGGGGAGGCAGCTGCAGGTGAGTCCAGGAGCAATGGTGGCAAGCCCTGCATGGCTCCCAAGCCACCCACCCACCAGCCCTGCTTGGATCCCAGCTGCCCACCCGCCAAGGCTCCCCCGGCTCCCTCGCAGCGGCTAGTAGCAAGCTCTGCCCTGCCTCAGTTCCAAATGGCAAGTCCATTTTCCACGCATGCGCGAGAACACAGTTTCAGTTTTTGTGGGATTTAAGTATCTCCGTATATTTTTTAAAAAAAACATGTTAGATTTTTCTGCACACCTAAGTAATGCCTAAGGAGCTGCGGTGGCTCAAGTGGTTAAGACGCTGAACTGCAGGCTGTGGAAGGTCGGTAGTTCAACAGTTCGAGACGCAAGTGTGCCGCATGACGGAGTGAGCTCCCGTCTCTAGTTCCAGCTCCTGCCAACCTAGCAGTCCTAAAGCAAGAAATTGCAAGTAGATAAATAGGTACCACTTCAGTGGGAAGGGAACAGCGTTCCGTGCGCCTTGGTGTTTAGTCATGCCGGCCACATGACCACGGAAACGTCTTCGGACAGCGCTGGCTCTTCGGCTTTGAAACGGAGATGAGCACCGCAGCCCTAGAGTCGGATTCGACTGGCTTTCGAGCAAGGGAACCTTTACCTTTTAAAGTAATGCCTCAAGTGTGCAGGGATTTCTGTTGAGCCTTCATGTGCCCCCAATTTGCCGAAATAAGTATCCGCACACACTGAGGACACTTGGCTATTAGTATATAGATAAAGGATGAGCTGCTCGCGATGGTTACTTTCCTTCTGAGACCGGAATGGTTCCCCCAGAAAACATTTCAGAGGTAAATCTGGAGGTGGTGCAGTTGCTGTTGTTTTTTTTCCTTCTCTCTGGGCAGGAACGGCTATGTCTGTGCTACCAAAGTCATGGCTCTGCGGAAAATCCTGGAAACTGCCGGGCATTCTTCAGGCTTCACCAGTGAAGAGAAAGGTGGGTGAAAAGTATGTGTCCATGCGTGCGTGCGAGTGAGATAGTGAGAGAGAGAAGAGTTTGGGCAGCTGTACAAAGGAAGAAGAAATAAGAGGAACCGAAAGTCAAATTTGTTTAACCGTCATCGTGCCTTCCTCCAGCAAAGGGATTCAGGTCTAATATATTTCTGAAATTCAGCACTCAACTTAAGATACAAAGCCTATCCCAACATATCCCAACATATCCCAACTGCTGCTGATGGAGCTGCCAGAGCAGGGTAGGAATCAACTAGGCCCCTCCATCATGCCTGCATTCAGCTCCGGTTGAAAAACAAACAAACGGTTGTACTGGATTTGTATAGTGGTTTTAAATATATATATCATTCCTGTAGCAGCTAGTATCTTTGCGCCTCTGAGCTCAGGAAATTACTCTTAATGAGCCAGTCGGAGGGAAGCTTCTGGGATAGGGTTGCCAAGTCCTTACTGCATGCAGAGCGGGGGACTCCAGTGCTGCTCCAGGAGTCCGTGCGCGCGCCGCAATTACGTCACCCGGAAGTGACGCGACCACGTCGGGCACACCGGGGGCGGGGCCATAAGAGTTTTCCCTCGGATGACCGCGGCCCTGCCCCCAACGCGCCCGACGCGACTGCGTCACTTCCGGGTGACATGCTGATGCCGGGCACGTCGCGTGCTTTGGGGGTGGGGTTTCCCCCGGGGCCCGATCCGCCGGCGGCAGGTAACGGGCCTCTCGGGCGGGCGTTTCCCCGCCCCCCGGGGGGACTTGGCAAGCCCATTCTGGGACCCCTAACTGTGGACTCCAATTCCCAGGCGCAACTATTCTTAAAGGTGCAACTACTCTTAAAGAGCCTGCGGGGAGGGCGGGATAAAAATCTAAATAATAAATAATAATAATAAATAAATAAATAAATAATAAATTAACGCTGGCTGGGGGCAGCACAATCCCCATTCAGCCCTGAAGCTCATTCGGAGGCCCTGGGCCTGTCGCTTTCTCTCAGCCTAATTTACTTCGCAAGATTCTTGTGAGGGCAAAATGCTCAGCAGCCCTGAGCAACTGGGAGGGAAGGGTAAGATAATAAAAAGTATGGATAGATATTTTTGAAAGCCCATTTTGGTTGAATAGCGAGTAGGGCTACCAAACTCCAGTCGGGGCCTAGCATTCTCCTGGGACTATGCCTGGTCTCCAGGCTACAGAGATCACGTCTCCCGGAGAAAATGGCAGCTTCTGAGGGAAGCCTCTATGGCATCACATCCCCGCAGAGCCCCCTCCCATCCCCAAACCCTGCCCACAAATCTCCAGGAAGTTCCCTATCTGGAGATGGCAACCCTACCAGCAAAACACAAGTAATGTTAATAAAGGACACGATTCCTCAATGGATTATATCAGCCCTTGCGGGTGATAGAGCTGTAAAGGGAATGAGGAGCTAGGATGTGGAAAGTGGGGGATTGGGGTGGTGGGTATGTTTGAAGGAGAGGTATTGGCAGAGGTCATTTCGGGGGGGATTGTGGGGGATCGCAGTTCCCCCGGGTGAGGTACGGGGGGCGGGGCACATGACGAAGCCCCGCCCCTGCTTCCGGCTGCCCTGCTTTCGGCCCTCATTCAGCCAGGAGGAGGCAGGAGAAGAGGGAGGGTAAGTTGCTTCCTCCCTGCCTCTCCCCACCCCTGCCTGCCTGGGGCCAGGGAGGGCCTTCGCGGGGCTTCCTTGCACTCCCGCCGGCCTTGCAGGTCCACCGCCGGGCCCCTCATGGGTCGGCAGAGGCGGCTGGGACCGTTGGGGGCGGGGTGTGTGGCCTTATGACACACTTCCGGTGATGTCAGGGGGTGTGGCATATGCTAATGAGTTATGCTAATGAGTTCCCCTAGCTCTTTTTCTACTAAACGACCCCTGGGTATTGGTGAGGACTGGGCAGGGCCTTTCCTCCTCTAGTGCCATGGCCTTGTTTCTTTCTTACCACAGACCCAGAAGAATTCCTCACCCTGTTGTTCCGAGTCCTGAAAATGGACCCACTCTTCCAGATTCGGTGAGTGACCCTCAAGCTGCAAGGGAAGAAGAAGAGGCCACTTTTCATCTCTGTTGTGCCAGTCTGTTTCTGCCCCATTTCCCTCAGAAATTACTTTTAGGATGCCTTGCTGGTAAGGCGCTTTCAGAATCACCAGAAACAGGGCATTCATGTTTCCTACCGTCAGCTATGGACCCTGGCAGGGGCTCCATAAGTTCTCCGAAATTCCCCAACAAATGATATGAGAGATCCCATTTTACTTATAAGGAGATCTTTAATAACGCATCAGAGTTACAGAAGATGTAGGCTCAGCTTCTGTCAGCTGGGCCCTGAGCGCACATGCACGCACAGCAAAACTTAGCCAGACGTTGAGACCACAGGCCTGACTAAAGCTACCCATGTTGGATGCTAAATGCTGGCTATGAGTCAAAGATAGATTAAGCTATCCCAAACACTTGGATGAGCCAGCCCATCTCGCACCTGGCATCCAGTGGGAGGAGGAAACAACCCAGGCTTTGAAGATAACAAGCACGAGAGAGAGAAAGTTCCCCTGAGAGCGGCTAATACTGTCCTCTCACAAGACTCAGGGCAACTTAAGCACCAGCATGTGACAAAGATGGAGTCACCCAGGCCGCACACACACAGACACACCGCCCAGTATTGCAATACCGGCTTATTTGTACAGACAGAAATGTGTAGATAATGGAAAAGTTATTTTTTGTGATTTTGTGAGCTCCCGTCTCTAGTTCCAGCTCCTGCCAACCTAGCAGTTTGAAAGCAAGAAATTGCAAGTAGATAAATAGGTACCACTCCGGTGGGAAGGGAACAGCGTTCCGTGCGCCTTGGCGTTTAGTCCTGCCGGCCAGATGACCACGGAAACGTCTTCGGACAGCGCTGGCTCTTCAGCTTTGAAATGGAGATGAGCACCGCAACCCTAGAGTCGGATTCTACTGGCTTTCGAGCAAGGGAACCTTTACTTTTACATTTTACTTTGTGAGCCACACAGAACAGGTCTCTGGAGTGACGGCCTATCAATTCCCTAAATAAATAAGCAGGGAAGATGTTTTCCCCCCAAGCTGAGCAGGGTTTAGCCCAAAGGAGAAAAGAACAGCAAGCAAGCTGGAGCCGCTGTGCTTTTATAGAACCAAATCAAAGCCCTCTCTATGACTTACCAATCACCAATCACCACAGTCCATTTGGGAGGCAGGTTCCGTCAAGTAGAAAATGTCCCTATTGGTCACATATTTGCCAAGTCACTTTCTCCCCTCTCCCTCCTTCTTGAACTCTAAGCCAGACAGCCATCTGGCAGAGTAAGGGACAAATCTGAATGTTTCCAAATATTACCCAATGCCGCTGTTATTTTTCCTCAGGTCAGGTGAGTTATACTAAGGCTATTCAAGAATGGGATGTATTCAGCTTGGATTTTGACTAGCTAAGGTCTGACGGCTCATCCCTGTTTAATAAGGAAGCAAATCATTAAAGAGTAGATCCTTGCCAGCAGGTTTACCGTAAAGCCATGCCATATAAACACGGCTATGTGCAGGGGTCATTTCCTGCGGAGCTCTGGCAGTAAAGAGCCCAGGGGGCAAGCACATGCAACAAGCCCCACCCCCTGCTCCCAGCAGCCCTCAGTCAGAGCAAGAAGCAGCCAGGTAAGTTGCAGAGCCCCCCCAGCCCAAAACAGTCCAGTGGCACCTTTAAGACCCAAGTTTTATTCAGGTACAAGCTCTCTCCCTCCTCTGCGAGGACAGATCTGCAGGTTCCTCCCCTCCCCCAATAGCTAGCCATCCAAAACAGTCCAGTGGAGCCTAAGCGGTAGGTGTTGCCTTCTGACACACTTCCGGTGATGTCAGGGGGTGTGGCATATGCAAATGAGTTATGCGCATGAGTTATGCTAATGAGCTCCTGCACCTCTTTTTCTACGAAATGACCCCTGGCTATGTGTGATTCTGTGCTAAAATCAAACTGTCTAGAAGTTATACACCAGGCTAATTAGGGGGACGGGTGGGGAGAAGGTGGCCACCTGCCACCTTACTGAGAATCTTATGCTGCTTTGTCTGGGCTTCTGAGATCTCATTAGGAATTTATATCCTTTCAAACCCAGCTTTATGGCCTTGAGGACTACGAACTTAGGTTTTATTGGGTTTTTTTTTTAAAATGAAGTAAACTTAATACACTAACAATTCCATCCTAAGGACACTTTTCTGGAAGCAAGCCCCACTGAACAGAGTTATTGCATTGAGTGGAGCCGGATTCTGAGTAGACCTGCTTAAAATGCCCCTCACCGTTGTCTTAACTCGGTGTATTTCTACCCACTATCTTGTCCATTGTGCAGTGGCTTATATTCCAAAATGCTTATGTGGGTGGAGGTGGTATTAACCTAAATGGGGAAGGGGGGAAAAATAACAATTTGTGGCTCCCAATGGCTATAACTCTCGTCTTCTCTTATCCCCCTCTGTTCACAGTCTACTTTCCTTCCATTCCCCGCAGCCCCCGTTCATAGTAGCGTCTCCCCTTCTCATCCTGTTCTCTCCCATTCCCATCAAGCTCGGCTGGTAAGGACCCCCATGGCTGCATTTTCTACCAGATCTTCACCGAGGGGCACCCGACCCAAGCGGTGCCTACTGTTCAGCAGCTGCTGGAAGGGTCACTTGTCACTGCGGACCTCAAGTTCACAGAGGTGAGAGCCAGATCCAGATGGATGGTAAGGTAAAGGAAAAGGTTCCCTTGCTCGAAAGCCAGTCAAGTCCAACTCTAGGGTTGCGGTGCTCATCTCCGTTTCCAAGCCGAAGAGCCAGCGCTGTCCGAAGACGTTTCCGTGGTCACGTGGCTGGCATGACTAAACACCAAGGCGCACGGAACGCTGTGACCTTCCCACCAAAGCGGTCCCTATTTATCTACTTGCAATTTCTTGCTTTCGAACTGCTAGGTTGGCAGGAGCTGGAACTAGAGACGGGAGCTCACTCCGTCATGCGGCAACCCGGGTCTCGAACTGCTGAGCTACTGACCTTCCACAGCCTGCAGTTCAGCATCTTAACCACTTGAGCCACCGCAGCTCATTTTGCCCACACCCTGCAGTTTGGTGTAGTTGTTAAGTGCGCGGACTCTAATCTGGGAGAACCGGGTTTGATTCCCCACTCCTCCACTTGCACCTGGCTGGATGACCTTGGGCAAGCCGTAGTTCTGATAAGAGCTGTTCTTGAAAAAGAGCAGTTTCTGTCCGAGCTCTCTCAGCCCCACTTACCTCACAGGGTGTCTGTTGTGGGTGGGGGAGGGAAAGGAGTTTGTAAACCGCTCTGAGACTCCCTTGGGTAGTGAAGGGCGGTGTCACGATGCGGGGCTGGGCAGGGGCGAGGCAGTCAGGATACAGTCCGAGCTCGGGAGCCAGTCACGCAAGCCAGCTGGGAAAACGAGTCCAAAACACAAGGCGAGAGCAGGGTGGTCAAGGTACAGTCCAAAATCAAGAGCCAGGCAAGCAAACCAACCCGGGAAACCAAGTTCAAAGCAACAAACCGTTAGAATCGTCAGAAAGCCAGAGTCCAAAAGAGTCAAGAGCCACGAAGTCAAAGGTTCGAGGTGCAGGGTCAAAGCGCCGAAGTCAAAGAGCCGAGGGAATCCAGACAGGAACCCGGAGTCAGGAACACGAGCAAGGAGGTAAAGAGCTTCGTCCCAAAAGGACTAGTTGCTGGCACGATTTGTCGTCGTGAGTGCGAGAGTTAAATAGCCCATAAGCTGGCAATTAATGCATCCCAAGCGAGTCCCGGCTCCTGCTAGTACTCGGGGCTGAATGAGCGCCTGCTGTGCATGTGTGCCTCTCGCCACAGGGCTGCCCTATCCCGTCGGCACTGTTCTCTCAAACAGGATACCGGTGGAGGCGACTCAGGAGGAGAACTGACCGGGCGTGCTTCTGCCTCAGCTGTTGCTGGGGTAGCCTCTGTAAGCTCAGTTCTGTCAGGTGCTGGAGTTTCCGGCATCTGGAGCTCATCCCCAGCAGCACTTAGATCCTCTGCTGGGGCCGCTTGCTCGCACTCCGCAGGGGCCGCTTGCTCGCACTCCACAGGAGCCGTGACAGGCGGGGTATAAATCCAATCTCTTCTTTACTTGCTCCGTCCTGCAGTCCGCGGGGTTGGCAAGGCTCTTACAACAATGGAAGGTCCACTATTAATGGAATGGATCTGCCAGATCTGACTCCATGGGGGTGTAGGATACTTAGCAGAGTGCTTAAAGCACAGCGGAAATAATGGATCACAGAGACGTGTGTGTTTACCTAATGAAAAGTCTACTAAAAGAATTAGGGAAGGGTTAGGTAAAAGGTAAAGGTTCCCTTGCTCGAAAGCCAGTCGAGTCCGACTCTAGGGTTGCGGTGCTCATCTCCGTTTCCAAGCCGAAGAGCCAGCGCTGTCCGGAGACATTTCCGTGGTCATGTGGCCGGCATGACTAAACACCAAGGCGCACAGAACGCTGTTCCCTTCCCATTGAAGTGGTCCCTATTTATCTGCTTGCAATTTCTTGCTTTCGAACTGCTAGGTTGGCAGGAGCTGGAACTAGAGACGGGAGCTCACTCCGTCATGCGGCACACTCGGGTCTCGAACTGCTGAACTACCGACCTTCCACAGCCTGCAGTTCAGCGTCTTAACCACTTGAGCCACCGCATAGGAAGAAAAACAATAACAGTTTAACTCATCTTTCCAGTTCCAGCTCCGTCTTGTCTTCTTCTACTCTGACTCTAAAGAACAAAGGAGAGGTAGTCCCCCTCCCAAAGCTCCACCCCGGTATACGTGCAGAATAGCATGTACCATCTACCGATATATTGATGAGCCAATAGTCAGTCTTAAGGTCACCTCATTAAGACTGATACCTCTCCCTCCCTGGCAGGGAGAGTCTAATTGACACCTAATTGGTTCTAAGCTAACTAGCTAACATTTAACCTACAGACACTTTAGCTTAACCCTTTCATGACTGACGGGATGACACTTGCAAAACCCAACACATGGTTTTTGTGGCAGCTCAGTGGAGCAGGGTGTGAGTGCCCCCAACGTGTCCATCAACAGCAGCCCATCCTTTCTACCCCACCCCCTCGTTCCCTGCCAGGCCCCCTCCTGTCTGATCCTGCAGATGCCCCGGAATGGGAAGAACTTCAAGGCCTTCCGCACCATTCAGCCCAGCCTGGAACTTGACCTCACTGACCTTCTGGAAGACGGTAAGGAAAGAGTTTGAAGGTGGTACAAAAGTGTCCCGGGGATTTGAGGAGAAAGAGGGCGGATTTCTTGGTGAGGACACTGGGCACTGGCCAATCAGTCCTGTGCACAGCCCACTTCTCTTTCCTAGGGGGTAGAGTGACATTTTTCAGAATGGTGCCTTTGGACAGAGCACGGCAAGACTGCTTCCATGTTAGACTCACGGCTCTAAAAGCATTTGGTGTCTTTGGTTGCTGAGACTCTTGTTTATTTGACTGACTGGAATGTGTCTGATCGATCCATCTTGCAGCCCCTCGGGAGTGCTGTATCTGTCAAGGGCTGGCTGTGATGGAGTGTCTGGATTGCTACGGGGATCACAGCTTTGGCTTTGGACACATCAAACAGTTCTGCAGGATGTGCAGCCAGCAGGTACGTCGGTGGGTGGGTTTCTCAGTGGGTGAGACCCCCCACGACCAGTGGCTTCGACTTCTTCCATCGAGGAGGGCACCTTATGTGTGATATGCAAAATGGGTCCATTAGAGCCAGACCCTAGTCATGTGACTATGTACAGAGAAGGTAGACCCCCAGAGAGGAAGCCTTTCCCATAGTCTATCATAGAGTCACCATGATCAGATTAGTAATCCGTGTCCTATGCACTAAACAAGAATATTTCATTTTTAAAATGCAAATGTTAAATGTTTTGAAATAAGACTTTGAAACCCAGAAGTGTCTACATAGTTCCAGTGTCCCCTCTAAACTGAGTTAGTGTGAGCTAAAGGTAAAGGTTCCCTGGCTCGAAAGCCAGTCGAATCCGACTCTAGGGTTGCGGTGCTCATCTCCGTTTCCAAGCCGAAGAGCCAGCGCTGTCCGAAGACGTTTCCGTGGTCATGTGGCCGGCATGACTAAACACCAAGGCACACGGAATGCTGTTTCCTTCCCACCGAAGTGTTACCTATGTATCTACTTGCAATTTCTTGCTTTCGAACTGCTAGGTTGGCAGGAGCTGGGGCCAGAGACAGGAGCTCACTCCGTCATGCGGCACACCCGGGTCTCGAACTGCTGAACTACCGACCTCCCACAGCCTGCAGTTCAGCGTCTTAACCACTTGAGCCACCGCAGCTCCTTAGTGTGAGCTATCTCACAGTTTTTTAGTCTGCGGCTCACACGTTTTTGTCTTCGCTCAGGAAGGAGGGCTCCAGAGCAAACTCATTTATTCCGTAGCCAAATCGCCCGTTCCCATCTTTAATGCCAGTAGTTCACAAAGTGGGATTCTTGCTCACAAGACTCCACAGCTTAGAGGGAACATTGCACATTTCTGTTTTCTGATTGCTAAACACAAAAGGTTAAAACGAGCCTGCAAGATGATAATAACTAGGTCACCTGGGTCCACCCGGACCTCCCTTGAATCCCACCCCTGGAATTGACAGATGAGTGAGACTTCCTCAGGCCGGCCTGCTTTGTTTTCCTGCAAGGGGCAGGGTGGTGGTGGTCAATGCTCCCTCTAAGCTGTGGAGTCCTGTGAGCAAAAATTCTACTTCGTGAGCTACTGGCATGAAAGTTCTGAGTGAGCGATTTGGCGACGGCATAAATCAGTTTGCTCTGGAGCCACATCCTTCCTGAGTGGAGACAAAAATGTGTGAGCTGGAGGTTAAAAAACTGAGCTAGCTCACACTAACTGAGCTTAGAGGGAACACTGGTAGTGGTGGTGATGGTGGGGCTAGAAAAACCAGGCAGCTTTTCAGAGGAACGAGATGCCTGTGGTCTCCCCCGGTTTGTTCAGGAATAGATGAAGTTGCCTCCCACTGAGTTAGACTTTTGCTCTGTCACGCTCAATATTCGACTGGCAGCAGCTTCTTCTTCGGCGACTCGAGTTAGAGGCCTTTCATGCCACTTGCTACCTGATCCTTTCAACTGGAGATGCCGGGGGATTGGACCCAAGTCTCCATACAAAGCTGGCACTCCACCACTGAGCATGGACTCCTCTTCTTCCTCCTCCCCCCTGTTATTGTTGCGGCAATTGGCTTGCCTTTGCAGGTTCACAAGCACCGCAGCCGGCGCTCTCACCAGCCCCGCCCGCTGCATCTGCCCGAGGAGCTGTCCCGCTTGGGCCGTCTACCCGACGTCATCCCCCGCCAGACCATGCAACTCTTTGCCGTCCTCTGCATTGAGACCAGCCACTATGTGGCCTTTACCCACCATGGCTCTGGTATCCACCAGTGGCTCTTCTTTGACAGCATGGCTGACCGAGAGGGTAAGCAGTCACAAGGAGAATGCCAGAGACTCTTCCTGTGAGGAACAGGAAGTGCGACCCCTGGGGGCGGAACTCTTCAGGGGCTGATGAACTTACCCGTGTGTCCGTCCTTTGACTTCTTCCAGTCCTCCTTTTCTCTCTCTCGCCTCCTCGTCTATTCTATATTTTCTGTATTTTGCTTATCTCGTGTATTTCTTTTCCTCTTCGCTTTGCTGTCTCGGAGTCTTCAAGTTTCATTCTCCTCTTCTGTTCCTCCTAACCTCTCCCCTGCATTCCTCTCTGTTCCAGGTGGTCTCAACGGCTTTAATATCCCTCGCATTACGGCCTGTTTGGAGGTGGCGGACTACTTGGAAATGTCCCCTACGGAGCTGCAGGGCCTGGACCCCAAGTCCTTGCCCCCCTGTGCCCGCCGCCTGCTCTGCGATGCCTACATGTGCTTCTACCACAGCCCTTCCCTCGGTCTGTACAAATAAGCTCCTTGCTGAAGAGCACAAGGATTTTCGCCAAAGCCTTCAGGTCATGGCTCTGGAGGCCCGGAGGGAACCCTGCCATCGGCGTGTAGCAGGACGCAGATCTTTAGCCAGAGCAGCCGGGATAAGCGGCACAGGCCCGACCCGGCGAGCGGCCCTGGAGATGTAGGCAACAACCACAGATAGAACCTATTTCTACTTTTGGTGGGAACCCTGACTCGATTGAAATAATCCCAGCCGTGATTGTCTGCCCTGCAGCTGTGTTAGTGAGGATTAGGGTGGCCAGGTGTAGTCTGGGAAATTCCTGGCGATTTGGGGGCGGAGGGCAGAGTTTGGGGAGGGGAGGGAGCTCACAGGTATGTGATGTCCTCGAGTCCGCCCTCCAAAGCGGCCGCTTCCTACAGGAGAATTGATTTCCGGCGGCTGGGGACCAGTTGTCATTCCAGGAAGAACCCCAGGCCCTCCCATGGGGCTGGCGACCCTTGCGAGGATGGATTTCTGTGGCGCCGTTTCCGTGACGTCCGTGCCACCTGAGATTCTGTCCTATCTGTTCCTCTCCATCCCAGTTCCATATGGATCGGTGGTAGGCACGGGGGGGGGGGGGGGAAGGGGAAACATTTGGCAGGTGGAAGAGAATGACAGTTGTGTGTTAATAATGGGGAATTTCACATTACCAGTTTTCTCCCGGTTTCAAACCGGGAGTCTTCCGTTTCCAGATGAACCGGTACAGGGCTGCCGTTTCACACACGGCTTGCCCCTACCGGAAAGGAGCCGATTCACAAGCGGTTCGGCGTTTCACACACGCACCGCTTCGTTTTCCCGCCGTTTTCTTCCCGCGCGGGCGATCGGTTTTTTTTTTTTTTAAGGTTCGGCTTATAGCGATATATTGATATATCGCTATACCAGAACCTCAAATGGTCGCAATAACGATCCCATTGGAATGCGACTCCTTAGAGGTTCCGGTATAGCGATATATCGCTATAAGCCGAACGTTCAAAAAAAAAAAAATCCTGTGCGGGCGAAAAAAGGCAGGAAAGAAGCGTATCGGAACCGGGAGAGGGAACGGGAGACTCCTCAGAAGCGGTTGACAGGTAAATCGCTTCCCTCCCGGTTCCTATACGGAAGAGAGGCTTCTGTGTCTGAAATGCCACTTAGATCCCGGTAGGGAACCGATTCCTAACCGGGTTCTGTCTGAAATGACAGACCACAACCCGGTTGAGAATCGGTTCCCTACCGGGACATAGCGCCTGTCTGAAATTCCCCATAGTCTGCTCTCGCTGGGACCCCTCCCAGTCTGGGTTTAGATCTGGCCGTAGGGCTCGGTGGCCCTGGTAGAGGACTTGTGCCATGAGATGGAGAGACGGCATGGGACTTGGTTGGTCCTCTGGGACCTCTCAGCAGCTTCTGATACCATCAACCATGGTACCCTTCTGGACCACCTGTCTGGGCTGAGATTGGGAGGCACGTCCCCTGTGCTCTTTAACATCTAAGTGAAACCCCCTCTGAGGTCACCCGGAAATTGGGACTGGGTTGTCCTCAATATGCGGGTGGCACTCCGCTCTCTCTCATGCTTCCAGCTCATCCCGGGGAGGCTGTAGGAGCCATGGACCGGTGCCTGGAGCCAGTTTGGAAGGGATGTGGGCCAATAAACTGAAGCATACTCCCAACCTGGGAGTGCTACAGGTGGGCGGAAGGTCTGACCTGGGTTTTGATGTGTCATCTGTTCGGGATGGGGTTGCGGTTCCCCTTTATGGAGCAGGTGCGTAGCCCGGGGGTGCCGTTGGACCCAGGCCTACTGCTGGTTAAACTGTGATCAAGCATGCCTTTCACCAGCTTCCACTGGTTAGCCAGCTGAGGCCTTTCCTGGGTGGAGGCGTTGTGGCTGCTGTGGTGCGTGCTCTGGCTACATCCAGGGCTGCAAAAAACAGCAAAGGACAACGGAGTCAGAGAGCCGTTCTAACCAAATATGTTAAACTCTGAAAATGGGCTGCATCTCAGAGACTCCCAAATCATATCAAAGTTCCGCCCGTTAAGAATCCACAGATATTACCCTATTGAAAACAGTACAACGCTGTAGTCAAATACAACACCAGTACCAGTGAACTCACAAAATTTACAAGTGTCCAGTTGCCAACTGACCAGATAACTATACCGGGACCTTGTATCGCTGTTCCTGTTACCTCTGGATGTATTTACTCCTCATTGTTACTGTTGTCTCTGAATGTAATTACTCTGCGTTGTTATTGTAATTTTGAATGTTATTGTTCTAGGGCTGCCAAATGTGGGCGGGGGGCGGGGAATCCCCTGCTTTGAAGCCCCGATTTCCGATGCGTCGGAATCGAGGCTGTGCGCGCGCGCCACGTGTGCATCACCCGGAAGTGACGTAGGCACGCTGGGCACACTGGGGGCGGGGCCACGGCCATACAAGGGAAAACTCTATGGTTTTCCCTTGTATGGCCGTGGCCCCGCCCCCAGTGTGCCCAGCGTGCCCACATCACTTCCAGGTGACGCGCACGCGGCGCGCGCGCACAGCCCCGATGCCGGCCGGGAGCCCCCTGCTCCCAGCGAAGATGGAGTTGGCAACCCTATATTGTTCCCAAGTGTAGAGGATGTCCCAGCTATTGGTTAGTTTGATTGCTCAACTACATTCTATTTGGTCAGTCGGCCACTGGACGCTTGTAATGTTTGTGAGCTCCTTGGTACTGGTGTTGTATTTGACGACAGCGCTGTATTGCTTTCAATAGGGTTATAGTTGTTCATTCTTACTGGTGGAGCTTTGATATGATTTGCTCGTCACATCTAGATCAGATTACTGCAATGCGCTCTACTTGGGGGTCGCCCTTGAAAGGTGTTTGGAAACGTCAATTGGTGCTGGTCTTGCCCTTCAAACCCCTATGTGGTTTGGGACCATCTACTCTCTTATGAAAGAGCTGCGGTGGCTCAAGTGGTTAAGACGCTGAACTGCAGGCTGTGGAAGGTCAGTAGTTCAGCAGTTCGAGACCCGGGTGCCGCATGATGGAGTGAGCTCCCGTCTCTGGCCCCAGCTCCTGCCAACCTAGCAGTTCGAAAGCATGAAATTGCAAGTAGATAAATAGGTACCACTTCGGTGGGAAGGGAACAGCGTTCCGTGCGCCTTGGTGTTTAGTCATGCCGGCCACATGGCCACAGAAACGTCTTCGGACAGCGCTGGCTCTTCGGCTTGGAAACGGAGATGAGCACCGCAACCCTAGAGTCGGATTCGACTGGCTTTCGAGCAAGGGAAACCTTTACCTTTTCCTTACTCTCTTATGAATCCACCTGACTGCTATGATCCTTTTCGGAGGTTTTGCTTTTGCATGCCCTGGCTACCATGGTTAGGCCGGCGGCAACCCGGCAGATGCTGGAACTCCCTCCCCAGGGACGCTCCTCTGTCTCCTCCTGTTGCCGTCTTCCGCCAGTGAGTGAAGACTCGTTTTGTTTGTCGTTCCCGCAATGAACCCTCCTTCCCAGCCAGTGTTTTAATGGCTGTTTTTATGCTCTGTACATATCTTAAGCTGTTTAATTGTTTCAACGGTGTATGTTTGAGCCAGGTTGATCTTTACGGTTTTAAAATACGTATATATTTTTTTATCGTGTATGTTTTAAATGGTTGGCTCCCTCGTCGGCCCTCGTAAAGGCAGAAGGGCGGGATGCAAAGTTTTGCAAACAATAAAACAATAGAATAGTCTTCTTCCGTGGTGGTGGTGGTGGTGGTGGTGGTTAGCCGGGACTGACTTGCTCTTCCCGCTTGCTTCGGAGGAAAGGCCGTGCAAATGATTTCATGCTCGGTCCCTGCTTGGAGGGAGGAGCCAGCCCCTCCCCCGCTTCCCCTGGTTCTCGCTCTGCTGCCTGCAGGGCAACAGGGCTTTTCTAGAGCTCCAGCCTGCACGTTTCCTGTTGCTGCTGCTGCTGTTGGAAGGACGACTTGGCTGAAGAACAGGTGTCA